AACAGGAAGTGACTTTTAACGAAGCAGCCCCCGCCGCACGTTTCACCTACGTGCACGAATTTTCTGTGGTACGTGTATCTTGTCCAGACGCACAAAAAAGCCTTTGGAGCGATGCCCTAAAATCAACAGGAAGTCGGCCATTTTGAATTTTACGTCAAATTTTGGATGATTTACACACTTCGTACTTTAACGAACTCCTCCTAGGGATTTAGTCCGACCGACTTCAAATTTGTGCTGTGCCTTCTAAAGGCATTGAAGATGAAAAGTTGTGCTATTTGCGAGTTTTCGTCAATGGGTGTGTCCGTGGCGTGGCGTCAAGATCAAGTCTTCGCCATGACACAGGAAGTTGTTGTAACTTCAGTGTACATGCTCACATCTGAACCAAACTTTACGTGCTTGATAACTCTCCCACCCCGCTATGGAGGACCGATCCTGACACAGTCAGAAATAAATACAGAAATAAATAAATGCTCAATAAATAAATAAGCTCCAATTAAATACACAAAAAAATAAGTAAATAAATAAATGTAGGTAGTAATTAAATTATACAAGGAGACATAAATGTATATATTTTAATTAGTGCCTTTACTTATTCACCTTTGTTATAATTACCTTATTTTTTATTCAACTTTTTATTTATTACTAATTTTTTAATATATTTATTTATGTGTGTGTTTTAATATTTTTGTCTGTTTTATTCTTCCTTTGTATTTTTTACCTTATTTATTTTCACCCATGGTATTTATTTCTGCCTGTCTTTTTAAATTTTTGTATGCATTTCTGCCTCATTATGCAAATGAGGAGGGGCTGTGTCTCAAGGGGTCATCTTCTCTGCTATTGGTGGACCAGTCAGACAGGAGAGCTCCTACTCTGCCTGCAGACATCAACGATCTTGCCCCTCACACAGTCAGATGGCTTCCTTCAGTGCGCTGAGGTGTTTAACAACTCTGAAGACACTACCAGCAATGTCTTCCTTCTCTTTTCACGTAGACGCTCCGACAGACAGTGCTTTCAGTTTGCTGCATGCATGGACACAGAACTGCGGTATAGGGAGAAGCACACGGTCAGCTGGCTGCAGCTAAATCTGGAGTGCACTCGTATTCAATTCTGTATGGTAAATTCAGTTTTAACGGAGCAGAGCGAGCTGACAGGCAGAGTTAGAGACTTTTTCTGTCCGTTTCTCTCTTTACAAAGACGCATGTCAGAGTCTTCTCTGAAGAGGGCATGAAGTCTCAGTAGTACCCGATGCGAGCACCACATACAACACAATTTATCAAATTACACAACGGATATACAGTATGAAAATAAGACCGATTGGATTATACTCACAGGAAGTATAAAACCTGTTACATGCGTAACACAGTAATGTCAGGGAAATTACTTTACTTAGATTTAAGTACTGCAGTTGTACATTTGAAATACCTTCCTAACTTTGTGATAGGAAGCCTTCTTGAGGTGGTATAAAACATTTCTTCTTATATTCTGATTTGAGTTGTGGCCAAAGTCTGCCCAAGTCAGCTATAACACAAGTCTGTCATTAGACTACATGCTGTACAGTATTTGTGGACAGATTTTGTCCCAGGATTTCTTATGCATTTCTTCTTCTTTTGCATGATTTAGAATAATAAGGTGAGAAATGGGTCTATTCTGAGTTCATCCTGCACTGCAGGCTAATAAAGTCCATTTAATCCCAAAACGCTTTTCTTTTAGGCAGGCTGGAGCAGAAAACAACTCACCTTTCTCAAGTTGTACAGTAATGTCACATGTGTATGAAGGTGGATCAAACAGCTAATCTTAAATGTCAAAGTAGAGAGGAGCCTAGTAGGCCTATTTATTTTCATTCATTACACAATATGAATAAGCTATGCAGACAGTTGTAAAGAAAGAACATCTTTTTCTTCTGTTCTCTACTTGTTATAGTTACACAGTATTAGGGGTGTGGGCTGTATTAAAAGTATCCACTGTTCTCCCATGCTCTAACACACAGTAACGATGAAATGTGTGCTGTTCTCACATTCTTCCTCTGTATGTACACATAAACAACAAGGCAGGGAAATATAAAAGGAATTTATTTTATTGTTTGGGTACATTATTGTTCAGTGTACATGCTCACATCTGAAACAAACTTTACGTGCTTGATAACTCTCCCACCCCGCAGACATCTACACGTCAATACCATTTATATTCATAGCGGCAAGTGCTATGTAGCTCCACATAGGGGACACAGAAAGTGACATATAACACCATCATGCGGCGTCGGAACCGCGTAGCAAATTCACAGCCGCACCGGCAGAGCTCCAGAATATGCAACTCGGCCGGCTCACGCGCGGACGCGCTTACAAGTGCGAGGGCCCGCCCAACGCTGCTTGCAGCTTTAATTTTTTTTTTTTTTCTGCAAAGTAGGCTCAACTGACATGGCCTAAACATACTCGAAAACTCACCAAAATTTGCAAACATGTCAGAACCGGTGAAAAATTTCGTATTCTACAAGTTTCGCACATGGGCGTGGCAAAATGACTCGCTAGCGCCACCTAGAAAATTGGAAAAGATTAGCCCCTCGTTCACGTTCAACCTACATGTACGAAATTTTCTGGGGACATGTATCATATCAAGACGCACAAAAAAGCCTCAAGAACCCATAGCCTAAAGTCAACAGGAAGTCGGCCATTTTGAATTTTACGGCCATTTTTGGATGATTTACACACTTCGTACTTTAACGAACTCCTCCTAGGGATTTAGTCCGACCGACTTCAAATTTCTGCTGTGCCTTCTAAAGGCATTGAAGATGAAAAGTTGTGCTATTTGCGAGTTTTCGTCAATGGGTGTGTCCGTGGCGTGGCGTCAGAGATCAAGTCTTCGCCATGACACAGGAAGTTGTTGTAACTTCAGTGTACATGCTCACATCTTAACCAAACTTTACGTGCTTGATAACTCTCCCACCCCGCTATGGAGGACCGATCCTGACACAGTCAGAAATAAATACAGAAATAAATAAATGCTCAATAAATAAATAAGCATCCAATTAAATACACAAAAAATAAAGTAAATAAATAAATGTAGGTAGTAATTAAATTATACAAGGAGACATAAATGTATATATTTTAATAGTGCCTTTACTTATTCACCTTTGTTATAATTACCTTATTTGTTTATTCAACTTTATTTATTACTAATTTTTTTAATGTATTTATTTATGTGTGTGTTTTAATATTTTTGTCTGTTTTATTCTTCCTTTGTATTTATTTACCTTATTTATTTTCACCCATGGTATTTATTTCTGCCTGTCTTTTTTAAATTTTGTATGCATTTCAGCCTAATATGCAAATGAGGAGGGGCTGTGTCTCAAGGGGTCATCTTCTCTGCTATTGGTGGACCAGTCAGACAGGAGAGCTCCTACTCTGCCTGCAGACATCAACGATCTTGCCCCTCACACAGTCAGATGGCTTCCTTCAGTGCGCTGAGGTGTTTAACAACTCTGAAGACAATACTACCAGCAATGTCTTCCTTCTCTTTTCACGTAGACGCTCCGACAGACAGTGCTTTCAGTTTGCTGCATGCATGGACACAGAACTGCGGTATAGGGAGAAGCACACGGTCAGCTGGCTGCCGCTAAATCTGGAGTGCACTCGTATTCAACTCTGTATGGTAAATTCAGTTTTAACGGAGCAGAGCGAGCTGACAGGCAGAGTTAGAGACTTTTTCTGTCCGTTTCTCTCTTTACAAAGACGCATGTTGCAGTCAGAGTCTTCTCTGAAGAGGGCAATGAAGTCTCAGTAGTACCCGATGCGAGCACCACATACAACACAATTTATCAAATTACATAACGGATATACAGTATGAAAATAAGATTGATTGGATGATACTCACAGGAAGTATAAAACCTGTTACATGCGTAACACAGTAATGTCAGGGAAATTACTTTACTTAGATTTAAGTACTGCAGTTGTACATTTGAAATACCTTCCTACCTTTCTGATAGGAAGCCTTCTTGAGGTGGTATAAAACATTTCTTCTTATATTCTGACTTGAGTTGTGGACAACTATGACCACATGAATTAAAAAAGTTAAACATTTCACTGCCCAAGTCAGCTATAACACAAGTCTTGTTCATTAGACTACATGCTGTACAGTATTTGTGGACAGATTTTGTCCCAGGATTTATTATGCATTTCTTCTTCTTCGTTGCATGATTTAGAATAATAAGGTGAGAAATGGGTCTGTTCTGAGTTCATCCTGCACTGCAGCAGCTAATAAAGTCCATTTAATCCCAAAAACGCTTTTCTTTTAGGCAGGCTGGAGCAGAAAACAACTCACCTTTCTCAAGTTGTACAGTAATGTCTCATGTGTATGAAGGTGGATCAAACAAGCTAATCTTAAATTTCAAAGTAGAGAGGAGCCTAGTAGGCCTATTTATTTTCATTCATTACACAATATGAATAAGCTATGCAGACAGTTGTAAAGAAAGAACATCTTTTTATTCTGTTCTCTACTTGTTATAGTTACACAGTATTAGGGGTGTGGGCTGTATTAAAAGTATCCACTGTTCTCCCATGCTCTAACACACAGTAACGATGAAATGTGTGCTGTTCTCTCATTCTTCCTCTGTATGTACACATAAACAACAAGGCAGGGAAATATAAAAGGAATTTATTTTATTGTTTGTGTACATTATTGTTCAGTGTACATGGTCACATCTGAAACAAACTTTACGTGCTTGATAACTCTCCCACCCCGCAGACATCTACACGTCAATACTGATTTATATTCATAGCGGCAAGTGCTATGTAGCTCCACATAGGGGACACAGGAAGTGACATATAACACCTTCATGCGGCGTCGGAACCGCGTAGGAAATTCACAGCCGCACCGGCAGAGCTCCAGAATATGCAACTCGGCCGGTTCACGCGCGGACGCGCTACAAGTGCGAGGGCCCGCCCAACGCTGCCTGCAGCTTTAATTATCTCTTCAGCTTCAATAGGGACCTCGCACGGTTCGTTCTCGGGCCCTAAAAATGAACGGATTATAAGACCTTCCTCCACTCTGCTTTCAGTGCAGCAGATGGCAGCACGCACCTTAGTAGAAGAAGAAACTTATGAGGAAGTAGGGAAGACGGTCCCACGGTAGTGACGTCAGTGAACCTATGTCAAATATGGAGAGCCCGGAGTTAACTTTTACTTTGGCTTACATGGTGTTTTGCCTCTGTTTTGTGTTTACGCCCAACGAGTTCCGTTCGGCCGGTTTAACAATCCAGAATCTGTTCTCATCCTGGCTGGGAAGTGAGTTTGTGGGCTTCACCCAGTACCACGTCAGGAGGACCAGCATTACCGTCCTGGTCCACTCCGCACTGCCTTTAGGTAAACGCTAACATCCTAACAGATAAGGACAGGGATATAACTAAGTAAGTACTTGTCATAAATATTACCAGGCGAACTGAAACATGATGGGTGCGTTAGCTAACGTTAGCGCACACCGCAGTAAGTTAGCTGTGTTGGATTATATTGCATGCACGTCATTTGTCGTAAATTTTAGCGAAGTAAAACACCTTCTGCTAGCTTCATGTGTAAACAGAGCTCTTGTCAGATGAGCAACACACACAATGAGCGTTTACATGTTTGGAAACACCCTCACACTGAAGCCAAGAGTCACTGTTACCTTTCATACAGCGTTTCACAGCCAAAGCACAGACAACATAACAACACGATCGTCCTGCCGGTGTGACAGTCTAAGTGGTGGCTAGATTAACTGGATATAGTCCCAGATCTATCGCAGGCGTGGCTTCGGAATCCATTGACTTCTAACCAGGAAATATGTTCCGATAACTCTTTGTTCATCTACGTAATGTAGACCACCTGAAATCCACCAAGCTCTCTTCTGAGTTAAGGTGATCAGATTTTTTTAATGAAAACAGTGGACATTTTTAGTTTGTCATTAAAAAATATAATGTTATTATTTATGAAAGAAAAATGGGCACAATTTTGGTTTTATAATCTGTCAAATATAACTCTTCTGAATGTAATCAATCATCATTTTGAGGCAGAAACTAGCTTTCAGTCACAGCTGACTCCACGCTGTGTTCAGGCGGAGTGTATTCTAAATATCCAGACTGTTTCATTTACAGGCTGTATGACAAACTGTTCTCACATCACCTCGACTTCAGATAAATAACGATACATGATACAAATGTTGACTGGCAAGACAGTGGAATATAAATGTGATCAATGGTAGGAAGCATGGAAGTTTCTATTGGGTCAATTGTGGTGTCACTCAAAAGGTCAACATGTAGATGTGATTTTTGTTTACATGCTAGCTATAGTTAGGCTAATATAAAGCAGTTTGTGTGTATTTATTGATATAATAATGCGTTTTGGACTAAATATTTTACTGGGTTGGATCGTCTGGACCTTTGCCAACGTAACAAGGCTATTTTTGTCAGAATGTAATCCACCAGTGGACTGCGGCTTCACAGAAAAGTCAAAAAGTCAATTTTGATAACAGATAATGCTTGAAGTGGGCCACCGATACCAGTAAGTTACTTCTACATTTTACTCTTTGGTGTCCTGGGACTTTTCTTCCGTATCGGTGAGCTCTTTGTGGCGCTCATCTGTCCCCATTCTCACCTGTCTGCTGATCTCTGTCGGCGGGGACAGAGCAGGTAGAAGCTTGGTGCCTTATGCAGCTGTGAGCTCCCATGTGAGTGGAGAGTACCAGCGGGGCTGGGCAATTAAACAATAATGATAATTAACAAGATATAATTTTACTCAATAACAATATAACAAATCTTGTGATTTAATTCATTTGAATCACAAACAAATCAGAGACTGGAAAAAATTTCCTTAATCATTATTGTTTTGAATGTTTTACCTCAGATTTGTTAAGTGATCCCAGTGTTTTCCACAGAATGACAGTGCAACTGTGGCACCAGCTATAAGTGCTAACCTCGACAACCCAGCTGTATTCTAACGTTAACTTAGCTCTTCTTATTAGCTAGGCTCCTTACATGCTTGCTAATAACTTATTTTAAGCTGGGTGTCTGACAGCATTGTGTTGGACAGATTTGTGCAGTGGTGTTCATGAGGGAGAGAGGGAGAGGGACGAGTGAGAGGATGTGCTGCGCGAATGCGCTAAGGCGCTCTGCAATCAAATACGATTTTAAATAGGCCTAGGAAAAAAAAGGAAAAAAAAAATCAATAAGTGGCAGTCAGCGTTGATATTGTGGCGGGCACTGGATCCACTGTTTGGCATCAAGTGTTTGTTTAAAACCACAGTTAACCATCCGGTTTCTTCAACTTTAACTCAGGAGCAAAAATCTGCCTTTAAACCTGAAATAAATAATGATTTGGCATTTATCCTGAGAATAATCAATATTGAATAATACAAAATGTTTTATGGTGATAAAATCTCTGGCCATATTGCCCAGCCCTAAGTACCAGCACCTATATTTTCCACTTCAAGCACTGATTATATGTGGTGGCAGAAGATTTCAGCAGAATGCAGGAAATTAATTATTTAATGCTCAAAATCTTCTGGGGGAGGACCCCCAGACATCCCTGTCATATATTTCCACATTGAACAATTTCACAAAACAGTGTACAGTTATCTACTTGTCTTGTTCTTGTGAACCCAGTATCGTGTTTCCTCATGTTTCGTGAGCTAAGTGTATGTCACACCCCTAATCTGAGCCCCTATGTCCCCGTCAGTTTTCAACACAAAGTTACTCTCTTGCCTCCTACCCTCCATCTTTGTCAGAAACCCCGAACACATTTCAGGCAAAGGAAAATTTCTTGTTTTAAGCCCTGTTGATGCCTTTGTTCATAGTATGTGCGTTCTTCTTATGTCTATGCTGTTGTTCATATCTACAGGTTACTACATGGGGATGTGTATCGCTGCTCCAGAAAAAAACCTGGGATACATTCACCAGGTCAGCTTGTCTCTCTATATGTGCAGATTAATCAACACACACTCTGATGAGACACAGGGCAACTTTTTTAGCTTAGCAGTGTTGCTGGGCAGTCTTGCTGGCGCCAAGTCTGACTTTGTTTTCAATGGATAACGGCAGGGCGGGTGGTGGGGGAAGGGGATTACGGTAATAATCTTTACTCATTGATGGAAACATTGCCCAGCACCATTGCTCTAAAAGTTGCTCCGTGTATCATCGGCTTTACTGTTTAATTTCCCATAATCCACAGTAGGTTACATCCTAGATTTAGGCAGGTGAAGGAGGTGGGGTTCACAAAAAGGTTCTTTTAGCTCTGTGTTTTGAAGTGCACCAGTGACCGGCCTGAGCCACACAGAAACCTGTTTTATTTTGTTAATCACATTTCATATAATGCTAAAACACAGTAAAACTCTCAATAATCATTATAATTATTTTTAGTTTTTTGATATTATTTTGTGCCGATATCTTTATCTGCCAAATTGAATGTCATTGCGTCCAAACAAAAGTTAGAGACTTGTGATACAATGTTCTATGACATGTTTGTCTCCTGGTGATGTCTGGAGCATCTCAGATGTTCTCCACACTTCGTTTTCAGTAGTAGTTTCAGCTGCGTTGTCCTGTTGTGTTGGACCAGGTGAGTGACAGCTGGAGAGTATTTCTCCTCCTGTCGCTCTGCCTCCAGTTGGCCAGCTGGACACTCGTCATCTACTGGTCCCGCTTCCGCTGGCATAACCATCCAATCAGCCGAACCCTGCAGGCGCACGCACAGCCTCCTCACTCCAACTGGGGCTCTTTGGCAACTAGCATCAACAATGAGTTCAGACGCATAGATAAGTTTGCTACAGGGGCCCCTGGAGCCAGAGTTATTGTGACAGACACCTGGGTGTTAAAGGTGAGTAAAAAAATCCTCTCTGCTGTGTTCACATTGTAATGGTGTCTCTAAACTACAGCCTGCCGGTGGAGTATAAGTGGTGTATAAAGACCTTACATAATGAACAGTAATGTTTTTATTACCTTAGAATGAACCATTTCTATCTACATACAATGCAGGTCCTCTTATGTGGACATTGCCATGTTGCACCGCCATGTTTCTACAAACGGCTCTACAGAGCGCATTTCCTACGTTAAATACAGAAGAAGAGTGGTTTATTAGAAGTAAGAAGAGAGAAATAACACAAGAACTGACAGGTGGTGTCGTCCACCGTAGCTTCTCCTGCATTCTTGGAAAGGGAGGGTGAGCAGTGACTGATGGTGCATTCATGTGGTGTCGGAATGATCAGAATCTTTTTTTCCTCCTTAAATCTTAATTGCAAAAAGACAAATAAAGTAAAAATGCAGTGTTTCCCCTTGGATGGAGTTGTAGCAGCGGAGGTGAAGCGAAAAAAAATTGTGTGCCCAGCTGTATGTCTAAATATGAACTGCTGTTGTGTCCATGAGCATGTAATACACATTAGAATAGCTTACAATTCCAGTGTTTTCCCATAGTCTTAGATGCACATATTTGGTGTTGGTGGTGGGAGGGGCAGTTGGGGGTCCTTCCCCCAAGAAAACTTTACTTGACAAATATGCAATTTCACATCATCATTATTTTTACCATATCTGTGGTGAACAAATAGAAAAGCCATAGCAGATAATGAATAAACAACCAGCAACAAGCTAAGGACTAAACTTACTGAAGAATTTATCTGGGGGGGACTAGCAACCATTTGATTTTGGACATTTTTTAGTTTTAGTTTTCATGCTTTCTCCACAGTGACATTCATGGCACAGCATCCAAGCCTTTTTGGGCCTCCCCTTCTAATCCTAACTGCAGGGAAAGCCTGCTAATATGACCTCCGAATCATTATAGATAGGACTTTTCTTGTTGCCTTTTGTGCCTCAATTTACAGCTTTTGCATTTATCTGTATAAATTAATATGAAAAATAGGCAACATAAGAACCACTTCCCTTAAATACCAACCATTTCATTTGCACAATAAAATCCAAAAGAAACGTCTCCTCGTTCGCTTAAAAGAGACTAGTTTGCATCCCTAACTTGCTTTACTAACCTCAGCTCCTCCACAGTCACCACTGTCCTTTCTTTTCCTAACAACCAGTCTAAAAACTGAAAAAGATTTCATGTGGACATGTGTACATGACAGAGCTGTAGGCTTAGTCTAAGCTTGCAACTAATGTTCTCAACACTGGACAAGTAGGCAGTAATGAAACGCAGCTAGTAGCTGGCATACTTCCCATAAATGTAGCTAATGTGAAGTTACATAGACGCCAAAAGATGTCTGGTAATTTCAGTTTTCCTGCTCAGCTGTGCTATCTGAAGGGGAGGGGAGATGTTTGCTAGTGCTAACCAGCTTCACTTTTCCAGCTGGTTGGGAAACAAGAGACTGACTTTCTTTGGTCTTGAGAAGCAGACACACTAACCGACACATTCACTGTCACTTTCTGCCGCTCGGACAATCAAACACTCGCTAGCAGCGTAACTCCTGTAACAGTTCGGTCGCTAGTCAAGCGTTTAGTGTTACCGTGCTTGCACACCACACAGCCGTTCCTAAATACATGTAGAGGAAACACTGACATTGGACATAAAGAAGTACACAGAACTTTGATTCGTGCAAAATCACGTATTGCATAGGCCTATACATATTTTGCAAACATATAATTTGTAATATGATTTTAATGGTGAGTTTGCTGTCCATGTAGGGTGAACTAGATGTCTGCGTGTTGTTTATATTCTCTGACAATGCTAATCCAACACATCTTTGTAGTAGCGTCTGTGTTGATTCCACATTCTGACTTAAGAGCACATGAACACACACTGAACTCAGGGAAATGGGACCATCCGAGGATCACGTGAATGCACCGTTACTGTGCATTTAGACCAAACACGAATTTAATCCTCGCAATGCTTTCCTCGCGGGGGGGGTTATCACTGGACAAAAGTAAACATTTTGCGATAAACGAATCAAACTGATGCTGAAATAACTACAATATGATGCAGATTTGTTAAACATACGAATTCATGCTTTGTCAGGTCTGTCAGCAGGACAGTAGGACAACAACTTTGGTTTTCTGAATGGAGTTCAAACAGGGCTATGCTATGCTAACTTATTTGCAGTAAAGTACAATGATAACTGGAATTAAAGCTGCAAGCAGCGTTGGGCGGGCCCTCACACTTGTAGGGCGTCTGGGTGTGAGCCGGCTGCGTTGCATATTCTGGAGCTCTGCCGGTGCAGCTGTGAATTTGCTACGCGGTTCCGACGCCGCATGAAGGTGTTATATGTCACTTCCTGTATCCCCTTTGTGGCGCAACATAGCACTTGCCGCTATGAATATAAATTAATATTGGCGTGTAGATATGTTCAGGGCAGGACAGTTATCAAGCACGTAACGTTTGGTGCAGATGTGAGCATGTACACTGAAGTTACAACAACTTCCTGTGTCACAGCGAAGAGTTGATCTGTGACGCCACGCCACGGACACGCCCATTGACGAAAACTCACAGATAGCACAACTTTTCATCTTCAATGAAGGTACACCACAAATTTGAAATCAATCTGACTAATTCCTAGGAGGAGTTCGTTAAAGTACGAAGTGTGTAAATCATCCAAAATTTGACGTAAAATTCAAAATGGCCGACTTCCTGTTGGGTTTAGGCTATGGCTCCAAGATACTTTTTTGTGCGTCTGGACAAGATACACATACCACAGAAAATTTGTGCACATAGGTGAAACGTGCGGCGGGGGCTGCTTCGTTAAAGGTCACTTCCTGTTGCCAGCAGGTGGCGCTATGACTGTGGGTGAATGTCGGCATGTACATGTGTTCAGGGCGGGACTCTCATCCTACATGTACAGTTTGGTGCAGATGTGAGCATGTACACTGAAGTTACAACAACATGTTTGCAAATTTTGGTGAGTTTTCGAGTATGTTTAGGCCCTGTCAATGGAGCCTACTTTGCAGAGAAAAAAAAAATATAATCTTAGCAAATTCAATAGGGACCTCACACGGTCGTGCTCGGGCCCTAAAAAATATAATCTTCACAAATTCAATAGGGACCTCGTACGGTCGTGCTCGGGCCCTAATAAAGGCACATCATTTCTGAAGTCACCAGGTAGTTCAACTTCCTCACTTTCTTTTCTCCAAGAAATGTCCAGTTTTGCCCGTTTTTATTTAAATATAAAGTAGTAGTCCAACAGAGCTCTGGGTGCCAACCAACGCTAACAAACAGAGTGGAAACGGATGTGCACAGAAGCTAGCTGCCGAGAAGCTTCAGTTAAGATGAATCAACGTTGTAATGCCAAGAACTAAAGGCCATCCATCGTCAACCGCTTATACTGCGTACAGGGTCGCGGGGCCTCTGGAGCCAATCCCAGCCGACATCGGGCAAAAGGCGGGGTACACCCTGGACAGGTCAGGAGCTGAGTAAACGGCGTAGTTGTCAGAGCATAATCCAGTCTGACTATGGGTGTTTATTTGTCCAAAAGCTGCAGCCCTTCTCTTCTCCCCCAAGTTTAGCAGCTCTCCGCTGGCCATCGGCATTATAATCCCCCACTCTGCCTGGCCCTCTCCACACGAGTTGTACACGAAATGACACTACTACTTTACATTGAAATGACACTTTGCTACAATGTAAAGTCACTACTTTACATTGTAGAAAAGTGTCATTTCTTCAGTGTTGTCACATGAAAAGATAGAATCAAATATTTACAAAAATGTGAGGGGTGTACTCACTTTTGTGAGATACTGTATTTAGGAAAAGAGAGAGAAATATAGATATAAGGTTCTTTCACACTGCCTTATTCTCCAGGATTATTACACCAATATGCCGGTTAGCTGAGCTGTTTGAAAGGTACCGAGGTGGAAAGGAGGGTCAAGTTTGATCCGCCACCAAACCAGGAATGTTGGTTGTAACAGAGCTGGAACGATGTCTGCATGCCGAAGGTGTGCCGTTTCAGTGCTGTTGTGTTGTCAGTCAGTTTTGTTTTTCATGTTCTAACCCGGAAAGCTGGATCGCTGTGTGAAAGCACAGACGGTTGCTGGATTATACTGCAATATTTTGTTCAGTATGAATGAACAAATGTGGCGTATTGGCACACATTCTTTCCGTTTATTGTGGGATCTCTGTGTGAAAGCGGCTATAGTTTCATCACATGAACACAAATGAACTTAAACATATGCAAATGTTGCCCTGTCAGCTGCATGTGTAAATAAGCATCTGCCACCTGTGACACATGTTTAGCTATCTATATGTAATCCCTTGTTGACACCATTAGAGCTGATCAAAACAAGGCTACGGTGTACCTTACTATCACATCGGGCTACTCTATTAAAAGTGTGTTAAACAGCGTCCTGGGTTCTTAGCTGTTGATGGCGAGCTGGCTAAATATTCCCTATTTACTAATATTTGTTACAGTGACTTCAGGCAGGATAAGTAGGTATAGACAACAGATAAACAATGTGTGTAAGAACAATAATAGCGTGGTGCCTCCACAGCTCACCTTAAGAACTGTACTGAAGTTCTCCAGAATAATGGTAAGTATTTATTCTCAAGTCAAATATGAACAACAACAATATATAGTATGAAAAAAAGAAAAAACATTTATTTTTACTCTCCTGGTACGCTCAAAACCAAGGGTTTCCTTTTAAAATACCAAAGTTTTGTATCAAACTCAAACAACTAAAGTTCAAAGTTTAAACCTTACAATGAACCCTTAATTAATTGACACATAGCCAAAGGATACTTTATCAAACCACTCTGGTACTCTTCAAAATAACACTTCCCTGTTTTATTTCTCTTAAGATGGAATAAAAAAAAAAAAATTAAACCATGTGTTTGAACTGAATGAAAATAAATGTAACCTGTACAGGTATCAATACCAAAAGGTACCACTTCAATATATATAAGTTCAGGTCATGTTTAGCTTCTTCCATTTTCTAATGATTGCTCCAACAGTGGTCCTTTTTTCACCAAGCTGCTTGGCAATTTCCCCGTAGCCCTTTCCAGCCTTGTGGAGGTGTACAATTTTGTCTCTAGTGTCTTTGGACAGCTCTTTGGTCTTGGCCATGTTAGTAGTTGGATTCTTACTGATTGTATGGGCTGGACAGGTGTCTTTATGCAGCTAACGACCTCAAACAGGTGCATCTAATTTAGGATAATAAATGGAGTGGAGGTGGACATTTTGAAGGCAGACTAACAGGTCTTTGAGAGTCAGAATTCTAGCTGATAGACAGGTGTTCAAATACTTATTTGCAGCTGTATCATACAAATAAACAGTTAAAAAAATCATACATTGTGATTTCTGGATTTATTTTTTTTTGATTATGTCTCTCACAGTGGACATGCACCTACGATGACAATTTCAGACCCCTCCATGATTTCTAAGTGGGAGAACTTGCAAAATAGCAGGGTGTTCAAATACTTATTTTCCTCACTGTAAATTAACTGCAAGGTAATAGTTGTGCTGATACATGTGTACTTAAGTCTACAAATATTAATTCTCTCCGAATTCAACTGAAAGTTTTACCGCACATCGATACACAGCCGCTTCTCTCTCGCACGTGCGTCTTCTCTCGTTACTTCTCTTCGGACTTCAGATCTTTTTTCTCCCTCCCCTTCAAGTGATCTCTAATTGGCTCAGTTTACATCAGTCAAAACAAACTAAAATCACATTGTATAAGTTATCATGACACTGGAATTCACAAAGAGCAAAGCATAATGGAAGGTGTAGTTTTTCCCATTAAGATCTCACATGCAAAGAAACTGCCACACATATATATCGGGCATCATGCTACATTTTAAATGATCGAATGTTACAGTGATACAAATCAGCTGTGAACTCAAAGGCACACACACAGCGAGGAGCAGACCAGTATGAGCCTCAATGCAAGTCCGCCCAATTTAGACTCCTCTTCATCAGAGTGGTTGGGTCCCGTTTACTGTGTTTTCATTCTGAATGAATTCTAAATCAGCCAAAAACCCCTCTTTACATTCATCCACATGTGTTACCCTCTTCTGTCTCTAGGTGACAACCTATCACGTCTACATGGCCTTACAGAGTGAATGTCATGTGACAGTGACAGAGTCTAGACAGCACCAGCTGAGTCCAGACTCTGCCTCCCCCACACAAATCTTGACCCTGAGAGTGGACAGCGTCAACCCTGCTGTCAGACACTTTGATATCAGGTACGTGTTTGTGTTGGCTTGAGCTGTCAGGACAAAACACCGAATACCATGTCCCAGAAAGCTAAGTTACTTTTCCACTGTTTCCAGGCTCAACTCTACGGAGTATGCAGAGTTCAGGGGGAAGCTACACGCTCCCATCAGAAACTCTGCCAATGTAGTGATCCAGCAAACGATCAGTGAACTCTTCCTGGAAACATTCAGAGCTCAGGTGGACCTCAATCAGCGGTACACACTCCCCAATGGACAGGTATGCTACTGTTTGTGTGTTTATGCAACAGGCGTGTTGGAAAGCTCATGCACAATGAATCTGAAGAATGTTCTCTGTCCAAACACAGGAGATAGAGCCTTGCATCGGCTGTATGCAGGTTCCAGCAAGCATCAAGCTGGTTAGACTCTGCCATGTAGAAGGTAAGAGTGTGTGTGTGTGTGTGTGTGTGTGTGTGTGTGTGTGTGTGTGTGTGTGTGTGTGTTAACGTCACTGTGCCTCTGATTCTGTGAGTGCTGTGTGTTGTAGGAGCTGATAATGAGTGCCAGCAGTGTTTCTGCAGACCCATGTGGTGTCTGTCCTGTCTGGGTCGATGGTTCGCCAGCCGCCAAGACCAGCAAAGACCTGAGACCTGGTTGTCCAGCAGAGTACCTTGCCCCACCTGTAGAGCCAAATTCTGTATACTGGACATCTGTGTGGTCCGCTGACATGACCGACATACAGACCCAACTGACTTTTTCTTTTGGAAATAATGTGGACGTTTGTTTTTAAGCAAGATTCAGCAACAAACCTCTGGAGGAGAAGGAGTGGACAGTACATTGGTCTAAGTTATGCACCTGCCCATTCTGTGCTTTCAGCAGGGTGTTACAATTTAGGGGAATTTGATTAAACACTCTGAAAAACATTGGCTTTTACCTCAACAAGTGGTATGATCAGTGGGGAATGTTTGTTTGTTTCACCCACAGTGAGATATGAGTGATGATGCGTTTCCCTGATCTCTGTGCAGTCAGTAAGGAGACGTTCAGAATGTGTTTAAGTCAGCATGAAGACTGAATGCAGGAGAGAATCAAAGGGAAACAAATGCCTTTCATCAATTGTATGGCCGGGGCATGTACCGCTGTACACTGTGTGCAAAATTATTAGGCAAGTTGTATTTTTGAGGATTAATTTTATTATTGAACAAATACCGTGCTCTCAGTAAATCCAAAATGTTAATAAACCCTCAATCCTGAATATTTAAGAAAACAAAAGTGAGGTTTTGGCTTTCTTAGGAGAATATATGTGTGCACAATTATTAGGCAACTCTTGGTGTGCAGAAGTATTATGCAGCAAAATGAAAATTTTCCCATCTCACTTTTTTTTTAAATACAAACAACTCAGTTTACAAATAAACATTTCTGACATTTAAAAAATAAGATCAGTGACCAATATAGCCACCCTTCTTTTCAATAACAGTTATAAGCCTTCCATTCATGTAGTCTGTCAGTTTCTTGATCTGTTGATGATCAACTTTTTGTGCAGCAGCCACCACAGCCTCCCATACACTGTTCAGAGAGGTGTACTGTTTTCCTTCACCGTAAATCTCCCGTTTAAGAAGGGCCCACAAGTTCTCAATAGGGTTTAAATCAGGTGACGAAGGGGGCCATGTCATAATTCTTTCATCTTTAAGGCCTTTACTGGCTAGCCACGCAGTGGAGTACTTCGATGCATGCGATGGAGCATTGTCCTGCATAAAAATCATGGACTTCTTGAAAGATGTAGACTTTTTCCTGTACCACTGCTTGAAGAAAGTATCTTCTAAAAACTGGCAGTAGGTTTGGGAGTTAATTTTGAGTCCATCTTCAACCCGAAAAGGTCCAACTAGCTCATCTTTAATAATACCAGCCCATACCATTACCCCAAATCCACCTTGCTGTCGTCTGAGTCGAAGTGGAGCTCTGTGCTCATTACTGATCCAGCCACGGGCCCATCCATCTGGTCCGTCTAGAGTCACTCTCATCTCATCAGTCCATAAAACTTCTGAAAAATCTGTCTTCAGATATTTCCTGGCCCAGTCTTGACGTTTCAACTTATGTTTCTTGTTCAGTGGTGGTCGGATTTCAGCCTTCCTTACCTTGGCCATGTCTCTGAGCACTGAACACCTTGTACTTCTGGGCGCTCCAGGTAGGTTGCAGTTCTGGAATATGACAGCACTGGAGGATAATGGGTTCCTGGTCGCTTCACGTTTGATTCTTCTCAAATCTTTGGAAGTTAATTTGCGTTTTTTTTTCTCAACACGTTTCTTGCGACTCTGTTGAGGTTTTGCTACAAAACGTTTGATGGTTCTGTGATCACGCCCCAATATCTTAGCAATTTCTAGAGTACTGCATCCCTCTGAAAGACTTTTTACAATTTTTGACTTTTCTGAGTCAGTTAAATCTCTTTTTTGGCCCATTTTGCCTGAGGAAAAGAAGCTGCCTAATAATTATGCACACCTGATATAGGGTATTTTTTCTCCTTAGGCCACACCCTCCCTCATTACACAAAAACACATCACCTGAAATGCTTAAATCCAATAAGCATTCAAGTTTATACAGCTTGGAGTTGGAAAAAATGCATAAAAATGATGATATGGTCAAAATACTCACTTGCCTAATAATTCTGCACACAGTGGACATACACTTCAGAATGCTCTTAAACTGAACTACTCCCGCTTACATCAAAATTTAAAAGTAACCTTTGGATGATTTACACACTTCGTACTTTAACGAACTCCTCCTAGGGATTTAGTCCGACCGACCTCAAATTTGTGCTGTGCCTTCTAAAGGCATTGAAGATGAAAAGTTGTGCTATCTGCGAATTTTCGTCAATGGGCGTGTCCGTGGCGTGGCGTCAAAGATCAAGTCTTCGCCGTGACGCAAGGGGTCATCTTCTCTGCTATTGGTGGACTAGTCAGACAGGAGAGCTCCTACTCTGCCTGCAGACATCAACGATCTTGCCCCTCACACAGTCAGATGGCTTCCTTCAGTGCACTGAGGTGTTTAACAACTCTGAAGACAATACTACCAGCAATGTCTTCCTTCTCTTTTCATGTAGACGCTCCGACAGACAGTGCTTTCAGTTTGCTGCATGCATGGACACAGAACTGCGGTATAGGGAGAAGCACACGGTCAGCTGGCTGCAGCTAAATCTGGAGTGCACTCGTATTCAATTCTGTATGGTAAATTCAGTTTTAACGGAGCAGAGCGAGCTGACAGGCAGAGTTAGAGACTTTTTCTGTCCGTTTCTCTCTTTACAAAGACGCATGTTGCAGTCAGAGTCTTCTCTGAGATGCGAGCACGACATACAACACAATTTATCAAATTACACATCGGATATACAGTATGAAAATAAGATTGATTGGATTATACTCACAGGAAGTATAAAACCTCTTACATGGGTCTATTAAAAGTAAAGTAACACAAAAATGTCAGGGAAATTACTTTACTTAGATTTAAGTACTGCAGTTGTACATTTGAAATACCTTCCTACCTTTCTGATAGGAAGCCTTCTTGAGGTGGTATAAAACATTTCTTCTTATATTCTGATTTGAGTTGTGGACAACTATGACCACATGAATTAAAAAAACATTTCACTGCCCAAGTCAGCTATAACACAAGTCTTGTTCATCAGACTACATGCTGTACAGTATTTGTGGACAGATTTTGTCCCAGGATTTATTATGCATTTCTTCTTCTTCGTTGCATGATTTAGAATAATAAGGTGAGAAATGGGTCTGTTCTGAGTTCATCCTGCACAGCAGCAGCTAATAAAGTCCATTTAATCCCAAAAACGCTTTTCTTTTAGGCAGGCTGGAGCAGAAAACAACTCACCTTTCTCAAGTTGTACAGTAATGTCACATGTATATGAAGGTGGATCAAACAAGCTAATCTTAAATGTCAAAGTAGAGAGGAGCCTAGTAGGCCTATTTATTTTCATTCATTACACAATATGAATAAGCTATGCAGACAGTTGTAAAGAAAGAACATTTTTTTCTGTTCTCTACTTGTTATAGTTACACAGTATTAGGGGTGTGGGCTGTCTTAAAAGTATCCACTGTTCTCCCATGCTCTAACACACGTAACGATGAAATGTGTGCTGTTCTCACATTCTTCCTCTGTATGTACACATAAACAACAAGGCAGGGAAATATAAAAGGAATTTATTTTATTGTTTGGGTACATTATTGTTCAGTGTACATGCTCACATCTGAAACAAACTTTACGTGCTTGATAACTCTCCCACCCCGCAGACATCTACACACCAATACCGATTTATATTCATAGCGGCAAGTGCTATGTAGCTCCACATAGGGGACACAGGAAGTGACATATAGCACCTTCATGCGGCGTCGGAACCGCGTAGGAAATTCACAGCCGCACCGGCAGAGCTCCAGAATATGCAACTCGGCCGAGTCACGCGCGGACGCGCTACAAGTGCGAGGGCCCGCCCAACGCTGCTTGCAGCTTTAATTAGGGCCCGAGCACGACCGTGTGAGGTCCCTATTGAATTTGCTCGGATTATTTTTTTTTTTTTTTTTTTTTTTTCTGCAAAGTAGGCTCAACTGACATGGCCTAAACATCTCGAAAACTCACCAAAATTTGCAAACATGTCAGAACCGGTGAAAAATTTCGTATTCTACAAGTTTCGCACATGGGCGTTGCAAAATGACTCGCTAGCGCCACCTAGAAAATTGGAAAAATTAGCCCCTCGTTCACGTTCAACCTACATGTACGAAATTTTCTGGGGACATGTATCATATCAAGACGCACAAAAAAGCCTCAAGAACCCATAGCCTAAAGTCAACAGGAAGTCGGCCATTTTGAATTTTACGGCCATTTTTGGATGATTTACACTTCGTACTTTAACGAACTCCTAGGGATTTAGTCGGATCGACGTCAAATTTCTGCTGTGCCTTCTAAAGGCATTGACGATGAAAAGTTGTGCTATTTGCGCGTTTTCGTCAATGGGCGTGTCCGTGGCGTCGATGATTCGCTATGAAACAGGAAGTTGTTGTAACTTCAGTGTACATGCTCACATCTGGACCAAACTGTACATCTAGGATGAGAGTCCCGCCCTGAACACATGTACATGCTGACATTCACCCACAGTCATAGCGCCACCTGCTGGCAACAGAAAGTGACCTTTAACAAAGCAGCCCCCGCCGCACGTTTCACCTACGTGCACGAATTTTCTATGGTACGTGTATCTTGTCCAGACGCACAAAAAAGTCTCTTGGAGCCATAGCCTAAACCCAACAGGAAGTCGGCCATTTTGAATTTTACGTCAAATTTTGGATGATTTACACACTTCGTACTTTAACGAACTCCTTCTAGGGATTTAGTCCGACCGACCTCAAATTTCTGCTGTGCCTTCTAAAGGCATTGAAGATGAAAAGTTGTGCTATTTGCAAGTTTTCGTCAATGGGCGTGTCCGTGGCGTGGCGTCAAAGATCACTCTTCGCCATGACACGGAAGTTGTCGTATCTTCAGTGTACATGCTCACATCTTCACCAAACTGTACATGTAGGATGAGAGTCCCGCCCTGAACACATGTATATGAATTCACCCACAGTCATAGCGCCACCTGCTGGCAACAGGAAGTGACTTTTAACGAAGCAGCCCCCGCTGCACGTTTCACCTACGTGCACGAATTTTCTGTGGTACGTGTATCTTGTCCAGACGCACAAAAAAGTCTCTTGGAGCCATAGCCTAAACCCAACAGGAAGTCGGCCATTTTGAATTTTACGTCAAATTTTGGATGATTTACACACTTCGTACTTTAACGAACTCCTCTAGGGATTTAGTCCGACCGACCTCAAATTTCTGCTGTGCCTTCTAAAGGCATTGAAGATGAAAAGTTGTGCTATTTGCAAGTTTTCGTCAATGGGCGTGTCCG